TGGCTCGTACCTAAAGCGATGGACGGGCTCACGTACATGCCTGAATTTGTGAGATTTTCCATCGTTCGGAGTCAGTTCCAAGCACCGCGGACCTGCTGTTGAACTCGTGCCTGGGTCTAAAATAATCTCATCGCCCACGTCTTTATGCGCATCTGCTCATTGACATTATTATCACGAGGCACATTGTCTCCCGTAATGATGCGAGGGTCCGAGCCGCAGCCAGCCGCCCCGTGCGTGCGTTGTCACCTCTGTGCAGCGTTCTGCCATCATCCGAGGCACAGCCTGTCCCAGGCTCCGGCCGCACGGAGCAGCGACTGCGACAAAATCCCGATGGTTTCTTTTCCTGATGGTTTCTTTCTTTTCACCCCCCTGAAAGGTAGCTCTGCCCCAAGCCAGCCGGGAGGATGCCTCCTGTCTGTCTGGCTTTCCTCTCCGTACCTTTTTTACTCCCCAGGAGTGTTGCTGGATGATTTTTTTCCCCCTCCTGCGCGGTAACAGAAATCGGGGCAGCCTGGGAGGAGGAGGCAGAGCTATTTCCGGGAGCTGCTGTTATCTGCTCCGTGTTAATCCCTGGCCGGGCGGGGGGAAGGTTTCCCCCGAGTGCTTTACGGGGAGGGCATATATGAAACATTGAAAAGCAAAGAGGGGAGGAAGAGGATTAGAGGGAGAGAGAGGAAGCTGGCTGCTGGTTTTACTGGGGTTGTCCATCTGCTCTGCTTTACAGATGCAGCAGTGTGAGCAGTCCCACTGAGGTTTTTTTGTGTTTTGTTTTTCCCCTGCTTCCTTTCCCTGCCCTTTCTCTCCATCCCAGCTTTCTGTACCCAGGTCCCTGTGCATCCCCATTACCCAGGACCCCGGAGCCCTCTCGCCCCCCTTCTCGGTGTCACCTCCGGCTGTAGCTGAGCTGCCGGGATAATGGAGCTCGGGATGGTGGTGGCTGCGGTGGAGAGCGGAGAGCAGGACACGGTTCTCAGGGTGCTTCAGGTCTACAACCAGGAGGTGAGTGAGTGTCGAGCCTCTGCCCGATGTCAGCCGCGGTGGGCCGGGCTGGACGTGGTGGGATTTCTGTGCTACCCAGCTGTCCCCGGTCTGGCTCCTCTGAGCACAGCTGTCTGCGCAGTGCCACCATAAAAACGTTACAGACTGCTTCGGCTTGTACTTGCAGATGGGTTATCGCTTGGTGTTTTGCTGGGAAGCAGCTCAGCAGCCTCTCTTTATCTTGGTTCCTTTGTATACTGGAAGAAAAGCATGTAGAAGGGATTTTTTTTTTTTTTTTTTTTATTATTATTGAGATTCCAAATAAAACCTGTCAGGGAAATAAACATCCGTGTGAAGACCAGCTGTTATCTGAAGGCCAGGTTTGGAGGTGATAAACCTGAGGCCTGGGGAGGAGGTGGGGGGGAAATGGTTGTCGTGATTTGCAAGTAAAAGATCGTTAGCGGTGGCCGGGATGGGCTGCTGGGGTTGATGCAGGTGCTTGATCTGGAAAGAAATAAATAATGGATACAGAATATAAACAAAACGAATGGTTGTGAAGCAGAGATGGAAGTGTTTCTGGCCTTAAAGTGGCAAAAGATGATCAGTGGGGGTAAATCCCTTCTGAAATAGACGCTGGCTGTCAGGGAAACTTCCTTCTGAGGGCTTCCACCGGGGCAGGGCTGGCCCTGCAGGTCTCCGTGCCTCGTTCTGCGCTGCGCCTGAGTAGGCAGGAAGCTGTCGGGGAAAACCGGTGAATGGTTTGTGTGAGCATGCAAGAGTGTGCAACCCTGTCCAGCAGCTGGTTTGGAAACGGGGAGACGTTGGCAAGGAGCGTGTCCCTGTTGAAGACAGTCCGTGGCACTGCCGTCACCGCCAGCAGATGCCGTGCTGGAGGAGTGGGGAGTGCAGACAGAGCCTGAGTGTAACCAGCTTGAGGCGTCGAACGGGGATATTTTCTGTTGAATTCCTCCGGATGGACCCTTGGTCAGTGTATCAAGTGCAGGAAACTTGTGAGGAGGTCGGGGGTTTTGCTAGCCCGTCTAGAAGAAGTGGAACAATCCAAGAGGATTATGAAGCTGCAGATAAATTAAGCAACTTCCTTGCATATTTTTTTTTTTAACTGTGAAAATTGATGGTACTGTATGCTTTTTTCTGGGGATGTATTTTAATTCCCTGTTGCGTATGCAGTCAGTTTTTGGTTGCCAGGAATCAACTCCAGCTGAAGCAAAACCGCAGGTGTGGCAGAAACGTACACGGGTGAGATTACAGGATCTGTTTGGAAGGAACAAGGAGACAGGATTTTCTTTTCTCATGAAAAGGAATAATAAATATCAAAGCGAGCACTGTGCAGGCACAGCTTGGTGGTGGCAGTGAGCAGAGGAGCTGCCAGCTCTGTGGCGATATTTGGGTTGTGATGAATGCCCCCTTCCCCGCTGCAGGGTTTAAGAACGAGCCCATCTGTCAGCGGGCACGGCAGCCTTTTTGGGGCCAGCCGCTGATATTCATCACGGCTTTCAGGGACCAAAGAGAAACAGTGTGGAACCCACTCAGGGAGACTCTCCATCCCCGGTGGCACGGTCCAGCTCTGCTTCCCCAGCCAGACTCACCCCCGCGCTGGGGAGCCGGTGGCTGGGCTGCTGGAGGAGGAGCAGTGTTGGGGAGGAAGGGCAGGGCTGAAACAGAAACCTCGGTGGCAGGGAAGTTTCCCTTTTGTCGTGTTCCTCGGGAGCTTGTGCTGCTCGGTACAAACCCCACGACTCCGGCAGGCGTCCCGGCGCTGTGGCACTCCCCCGTGCCGGTTCCCTGCATCCGTGCCCGGGGTGCTTGCTTCTGCAGACCTGCTGCTTCCCGGCCGAACGGCCCTTCCCTGCCTGGGGACAGCGGTTTTGTGGATTTTTAGCCTCTGACTTTGATTTGATTGTTTCTGTTTTGCCCCCACAGAAGGCTCAGTGCTTCACCTTTGATGATGAGGAGCGGAAAGAGAGGAAGGTAGGCACGTGCTTGGGTTTCCTTCTCTAGTCGGATGGGTAAATCTGCAGCTCTGGGCTTGGTGGCGGCAGCTCCTGCAGGGAAATAAATGTGATTTTCATTAATGTGGTCAGGGAATGGTGTGCTCAGAGCACCTGCCTCCACTTTTTCCACCAGTAGCTGGTGTTTGAGGATGAAGGCCAGCGTTCACCAGCCCCTGGGGTTCCACCATGCAGATTGTCTCAGCCACGAGGGTATAAAGCGAGTTCCTTTGTGTCTGGCACGAGTCTGCTCAGCAAAATCACAGCAGCGTGCAAGCCTCCAAGAGGCCGGGTGCGTTTGCTGGGAGCCGGGTGCAGGATCTGACCGAGGCTCTGTGTGAACAGATCCTTTAAGCTGCTGTGATCTCGTGCTCGGTGGAGAGAAACTCCTGCCTTCGTGTCAGGGCAGACCTCTGCGTGGCTGCACGTGGTTGGTGGGCTGGGCCGCCCCAAAATAACTTTTTTTTCCTGGATTATTCTGCAGCTGGATCAGTTTTGTGGTCCAATTTGTTGGCTGGTTGCACTAACGCCTGTGTTAGCACGGCAAAGGCAGCCGGGGTGGAGGACGGGACCTCTGTTGTCGGTGCCGTTGGCAGCTGACGCTCGCAGGAGGTTTCTCCAGGTGCAGCCTGGTGTGCAGGACCGGATCTCACGAGATCTGAGCTCTGTGCCATGCCCTGACTTTCTCTTTGAGCTGGGACAGCCGCTCATGCTTGTTCCGTTCCGCCAGCATCACATCAAGGACTAAAATTCACTTTTTTTCTTTATATTCCTTCTCCCAGTCCTTTTATTATTAGGAAGCATAACCGAGGAGGCTGTGTTAAGCCTCCTGGCAGAGCTGGATTCCTTTGTGACATGATGGAAAGACGTGTGCTCCGATACGGTGTCAGGTTGGAGATCTTGTGAGATCTCGCCTCACCAGGGTGTGCTGGCTCGTGCAGTGGATTCCTGGTGTGACGTGAACTGTTGCTGCACGCGGTCCAAACCCGGCTGGGCTGGGTGAAGCATCGCCTCTGCTCTTGCGCTCTTCTGTCACTTGCAGTCACAAGCGATGCTGTTATCCCCAGGGTCAGATTTTCAGGCGGTGAGAATTGGTGTTAGTGGAGCTCTGCCAGCCTGTGCCCGCGGAGGATCTGGGCTAGTAGGTCTCCAGGCAGCACGGAGGTTTAGGGAGGTTCTACTTATTCAAGTCTCCTGAGGTCTTTTCACCTCCTTTCCCAGGGCATCACCTCGCTTAGGTCCTTTTCCCCTCCCCGGCACATCTCTCAGCCATTTCAGTGTGCTTCTGGAGCACCCGAAGCAGATCCCTCCCCAGTCGAAGGCTCTGGGTGGGAGCAGACACCGCTGTTGAGCTGGCGGCTGCTCCTCAGTGAACCCACGGGGGATGTTTTTGCCCGGCCCTCTCTCTGCTGAATGCAGCTCTTGAGAAAACCATGTCAGCCCGAACCATCCTGACTGTGCGTGAAGCTAAAACCTGCAGTCGCAGTGGTTGCCTGCTCACGCTCTGCACTTACATCTGACACCCTCTCCCAGACATTCCTGTTTCTTGCTGAGTGTCCCCGCTCGAGCTAGGCCAGGATCAGGTGCTGGAGCCAGAGGGCTGCCAGGGGCACACCTGGACCAGAGCTGTTAGCTGGCCCGTCTCCGGATGATGCTCATGTCTCCCAGGGCAGAGCGGTACAGGGTGGTGGGGGAGCGCTGGGACGTGTTCCTGTACGAGTCATTCCCTGTTTCCAACCGCACAGAAACTGGCCCAGCTGCTGATCAAGTTCCTGTGCACCCCTCCTGCCAGGTCGCGTTTTTGGAGAGTATCCGCATCCTGTCCCGGGACAAGCACTGCCTCGACCCCTTTGCCACCGAGGACGGCCTGAAGACCCTCGCCCGGCACGCTGGCGTCGATTGCTCGGAGGAGATCATCCGGGAGGTCCCAGACTTGGATGTCATCCTGGAATCCCTCAAGTGTCTCTGCAACGTTGTGTTCAGCAGCCCCAGGGCGCAGGAACTGACAGCTGGGACCCGGCTGGTGGTGGGCTTGGCCAGGCGCATCAAGCTGTACAACG